TCCCACTGTTTTAAGCCTGGGGCAAGACTGAGTATCACGGTAGAGAGAGAGAGGGCATGATAGAATGGAGAGACTAACTTCATCATAGCCTTGAAGCAAAGAAGAGGAAGCCTGCACTAGAGGGCTCCCTCCTCCTTCCTCTTTTAATCTGCCTGGGGCCCTAGCCTACTCATAGAATACCTCCCTTATCCAAGGTGGGTATGCCCTCTTAGCTAATCGTGTCTGGAAATGCCCACACTGACACACTCAGAGGTGGACTTTACCCATGTCCAAGCATTCTCTCAGTCCCATCAAGTGGGCAAATCAGAGTGACTGTCCTAAGACTACATTAGATCAAAAAGCTTCTGTAGAGCAAGAGAGACAGCCAACAAAATTAAAGAAGGCTATATACAGATGAGAAAATATTTGGAAAGCATACATCTGATAAGGGGCTAATGTCTAAAAAACATATAGAACCCACACAATTCAGTAATAGAAAAGCAAATAACTTGATTTGAGAATGAGTAAATACCTGCTTAGATGCTTATCCAAGAAAACACAAAAATGGTCAATGGATATATGGAAAGGTGCTCAATATCAGGACTCAGAAACGCAAATCCAAATGTCAATAAAGAGGGGTTGCAGGTCAGTGGTAGGAAACCTACACCTATAAGGATGACTATTATCAAAAAGATAAAGAGAGGACAGGACAAGTGATGACGAGGGTGCAGAGAAAGATGCTGCTGTCTCTTCCCTTTTTGAGACAGTCTTGCTTGCTCTGTGGCCCAGAAGTCACTTAATGTAGCTTAGGTGGATCTTGAAACTCATGAGCCTCCTGTCTGCCTCCCCAGGTCTAGGATTACAGATGTGTGAGACCATGCCTAGCTACCATACTTTCTATCTCATAAAGGAGGAGGGGGGCGGATTACTACTTCTATTCTAAAAAGGAGATTCTGTACTTTGCCACAACATGGATGAATCTGGAGGCTCTTGTTCTAAATGAAATGTGTCAGACACAAACAAAAAATGCTTTATGTTCTTAGTTATATTTAGAATCTATAAAGCAAAGGGGGCTGACAAGATGGCTCAAAGGTAAAAAGCACTTGCCACCAAGCCTCAGGACTGAGTTTATTCCTTCCATGGTCAAAGGGGGGAACTGACTCTCACAAGTTGTCCTCTCATCTCCACATACGTCATGCCCCACCCCCTGGCACACACAAGGTAAAAAAAAAAAAAAAAAATAGGTACGAGGGCCAGTGAGGCATTTCACTGAGTAAAGGTGCTTACTGAACAAGCTTGGTGACCTGAGCTCAATCCTGGGACCCAAATCAAGGGAGTGCTGACTCCAGAAAGTTGTCCTCTGACCTCCATGCACACACTCACATACATACATCAAACACACACATACACACACAAATAAAAAAAACTTACAAGTGAGTGTCACACCTATCAGGCTATGATATGGATTCTGGGAGTCTGAACTCTGCAGAGCAAGTGCTTACACACAGTCACCTCCCCAGTTGCAACCCATATCTTCAAAAGCTCTTCAGGGTCCTCAACTTTTAAAGAATGTAAAGGAATCTTGCAGCTAAAAAAAAAAAATGTTAAGAACTGATAACGCAGGCTATCCCTAAACAAGTGAATAATATAGCTAAAAAAATACAATAAAGAAAACAAGTTTTAAAAGTAGAATAGATAATAGCAAATGACTTATTCGATTGTGGATTTCATTTGAACTCATTATCAAAAGAAATAAAAAGATTGTAGACATTTAAGCTATTTTAATCAGGCTTTTTAAAGCATACCATGAGAAGATACAATGAAGAAATACTTCAATTTTATGAGGCTATTTATTTCAAGAATCTTATTGAAGGGTACCCAGAAATGAAGACAGATAAGAACAGGGTCTATAATGTACTTTTCTTCTTAAACCTCTTCATTGTAAATCTTGAGGAAGAGACTAAGGAGAAAAACTGTCTTGTTTTAAATGTAATTATTTCTATTATTCTAACTTCTAAGACAGAATAAAAAAAAAATAAGGTGTTGAGTGAAAACCAGTTAGACAGTCTTTGCCAGACTATTTTGTGATTTAAATCACTGGTAACATTACCATCTTGCGGGCAAAATGATGTATTGCAATTATGAATGACCAAAAAAAAAAAAAAAAAAAAAAAACCTGAGAAGTTTTAACTCTGGGTTTGATAGAAGACGGTCAAATATTTTCCTCCTCCCTACCCATCACATCCTCTCAACCAACCTCAAGTTAAAAGAACTTTTAGAGTTATTCATCTGAGAAATAAGGATTACTTAGCCATCCTTGGTAGCTCATACCTATAATCCCAGCTCTTGAGAGCCTGAGGCAGAGCACAGCTAAATTCAAGGCCAGCCATAGCTGCAGTGTGAGCCCCTGCCCACCCCACCCCCAAAAAAATTTTAGTAGAAAATTTTAAAGCCTTGAAAGAATGCTAAATAGAATAACAGTCTTGATAAGGAATGTTCTGATAAGGCTCAGGGATCTTCGGGGAAGAGGGGGTGGAAAGATTGCAAGAGCCAGAGGCTGTAGATGACCACAAGGAAAGAGTATTTTCCAGACACAACTGGGCAGTTGCACATATGAGCTCAAACAGTTATGACAGCATCACAAGACCTTCTCAAGCTCAAACCAGTCAAAATCCCAGCATGGAGTTGGAGAGGTGGGCACAAAATCCCACCCCTAGCTGAACTATTATATTTGATAGCTGTGGCGGGGGGGAGAAGAGGCCATTTTCTTTATGGGTGTGGTCCCTGGCAGGTAGACCACAATCCAGGGCAGGTTCCACACCCAGGAACATTTAGGCAACACAAACTGGACTGCATACTCCATGGGGAAAAGGGAAGATTACGAAGTCAGGTGGTCAAGCAAGAGGCGGGTGGATCTAGGAAGAGTTGGGGGAGGGGGGAATATGATCAAAATACACTGTATAGAGTTCTCAAAGAATACAAACTATTTTTTAAAAAATGAAAGCACAGCCATAAACAATGGCTAATGAAAAAAGGAAATGATTCAGGGGCCAGAGAGATGGCTCAATGGTTAAGAGCACTGGCTGCTCCTGCAGAGGACCCAGGTTCAATTCCCACCACCTACATGGTGGCTAACAACTGTTCATAACTCCAGTTCCAGGGGTTCCTACAACCCTCTTCTGGCCTCCACAGGCACTGCACAACATGGGTGCTCTTACATACATGCAGGCAATACACTTATAAAATAAAAATAATAAATAAAATATTTTAAAAAATGGTTCAGCATATCAACTAACAATAAAACTCCCATAACTACTTCTTTGTGTGTCTGGGGGGGGGTGGTAATATGCATGTGCATGGTATATGGGCACGTGTGTGTGTGTGTGTGTGTGTGTGTGTGTTGTGGATGTAGGGACTTTCACAGACAAGGACATCCAGTGTCTGTTTTATTACTCTCTCCCTTATTCCATATTTCAGGGTCTCTGACTGTACCAGCAGCCAGGTTGCTAGCCAGCAAGCCCCAGTGATCCTCCTATCTCAACCTTTCACAGTGCTGGCATTACAGGTATTTGCAAGGCCACATCCAGCTTTTTACATGAGTGCTGTTATCCAAACTCAGACCCTCATGCTCGCATAGCAAGTACTCTTGTCCATGAAGCCAACTCTGCAGCCCTCATGTGACTGACAAAGCAGTATCATATTTTACAAGTATAATATTAGATAAAATTTGTGCTTGGCAATTTATTTTTATAATTGCCACCACACTTAAATTCTACCGTTTTTGGAATGGAAGAAGTGAGGCAGGATAGAAGACAGGGAAAATTACGGGGACAGGAAAAGGGAAAGGAACCCCTCACTCAAGTCTGGTTGAAGTTTCTCAGCAGTTGAGAATCAAGAATTTTAGCACAAATAATGTTCCCTGTAAAAACAGGCAACACAGAGATAGTATTTCTTTTCTATACAGATATTTCTTATTAAAATAACAAGGAACCAGGCTAAAGGCCTCCTGGATGCATAGGACCTTGGGTAAAACCTCATTCCCTTCACCAGACATTTTCTGGGACTCTCAAATTTCAAACAAGACAATAAGCTTTGTTTACAGTGAAACATTCTACTGCTTCACCCTGTGATCCACAGTATTACCCTATCCATTGTAATCCTGTCAGGTATCCCTCAGGAAACACCTTGTGATCTCACCTCGGTTTCTTAGCAACCTTCTAAGGATAATACCTTTCAAAATCTACCAAAATCCCACATGACTGTTACAATGAGGGCCTCACTTTTTTTCTTGAGCGCCTCTTTTCTTCCTTTAACCCTCGTGCTTAAAATCTGTATTTAAAAAGCTATGGCTTAGGATCAGGGGAAGGGCCACAAGCACCATGTCAACCTGCAAAAGTGGCCCAGAATCCCCTGGGAAGCCCAGGCAGCAGGCCAGGGACATGGATGAGGAAGATGAGGCTTTTGAGCAGAAACAGAAAGAAAACGGGGAGCCAAAAGCAAAAACTTCAGAGGAAGGAGGGAAGGAGGGAGGGAGGGAAGGGGGGAGAGGGGGAGAGGGAGGGGGAGAAAGAGATTCCCACTGTCCCTCTGTTATTTCAGCAATGGTAGATGAATTTTTCCCTTACAACACCTAGTCAGAGTCTCAGAAATAACCAATGTGTGCTCTAACTTATAAAATTAATTTTTAGAAACTATTTTCAATAACCTGAGTTTTCAAATCAATAATTATTTTGTGATCATCTAATAGGAATAATCTGAAGGTGGGACCCTCCTGCTTTAAAAACACTATCCCAACTAACTAAAAAACACGCCTTTAAGCCCAGCACTCGGGAGGCAAAGGCAGGCGGATCTCTGTGAGTTTGAGGCCAGCCCGGTCTACAGTCAGTTCCAGGCCAGCTGGGGCTACAGGGAGACTCTGTCTCAAAAACAACAACAAAAAAAAAAAAAAAAAAAAAAAACCCATTGCCAAATATGATTTTTTTCTGAAAATATAAATAGTAGTAATTCACTTTTTCTCTGACCTGTTGACTGCAGTGTTGGGGGCAAGCAGTGTGGTAACTGAAGGGTGAACACAGGTGAATGAACACTGTTTCTGAAAAAGTCTTCTGTTGCTTTAGACTGTAAAACTTTGGTTTCCCAGAGCTGTAGAGGGAGAAAAGTTTTGTTTAAAAAAAAGAATTTAAAAAATAAAATGCTTTAAAAATCACTAAGCTATTCACTGCTTTTTTTTCTTGAGTATTTGGAATTAATTATCATGAGTACATGCTAAAATGTAACTGAATGGCTAGAAGTGTAACTTATCAGACTTTTTAAGCAGGAAAAGGAGAGAAGCTTGTAGTATTTACAAACCTTCTTCAAGTCTTTTAACACTTGTTCCTCTATGCCTTCCTCTGTAAACAGATCCCGCACTCCTTCAATTACATCTTCAATTATAGATCTGTAGAGTTTAGGCTACATGAAAGCAATTGTTAAGAGTTTTCAATTCTCAAATTAGAATGTACTAACCTTAAAAAGACAGTCGGTATTCAGTTCTCTAATCCTCAATTTCGAGAAAAACCACAAGATTATTATAAGCACATACTCCTCCGGGTAGTCAAGGTTCTTTCTAAGTTGTGTTAGCCTCAGATCTCTAGCCTTAGCTATAATCCATCTGAGGCACCCTCTCCACAAAGTTGAATAACACAACCACAACAAAATTTGAGATAATCTTATAGATACAGGGATATGGTGTGGTTATGCTTCTTGGCTTTTGAGTATTTAACTTCCCCCACTCCTGTTTGAAAGGGAAATTAAAGGCAGCTGGAAACAGGCCTTCTGTTTTCAATTTACCTTTTTTTCTACGTAGCCACTATCAGTGAACGATCATGGGTGTAAAATAAACTCCAAGCCTTAAGCCTGGGACAACCTAACCGTGTCTCACTTCCAAGACAGACTCTGGGGGTGGGGGGATGTCCTGAACATTGTGAAATGAAAACACATCACTGCATCAAAATGGATTTCCTGTAACCGTAACTATTAAGTTTATGAACAAACCTCAAATGTTAAGCAATGCCACAGAATAAAATTAGGCAGATTCTACCCAGATTAAGCATGTTATGCCAAGACAAGTGTACAAAATAAACTCAACCTTTCAATTCTATGAAATGTACTCCACCCAGGTCTCCTATCCAAAATGGTAATGCTATGTGTGCTGACAACACTGATCCAGGGGAAGTCCCACAGATGACATACATCAAAACAAGAATTTGAGTTGTTCTTATTATAAATTGCTTAATGGGGCAAAATGAAAATTGTAGCATTCTAAGACTGCTTTTTCATACCTCCTATAAAATACTCTCACTCCAAGAGCAGCTAAGTTTTAAACTAATCTTTCTAAAGATCCATGGTAAGTCTATGAATAGACCAATCAGTAACATTTAAATAATATGTTATTCACAGGCATATCCATTAAGACTAAGTGCCCCTAGATTAGTTGCTTCTTCTAAAACAGTTTACCCTGATAAAGGCATTCTAAATTGATGCTTCAGTGTTAATCCCAGCTAGTATAATCACACTTAGAGCTGGAGGGAAAAAACTCCTAGGGCTAAAAACATCTTTTAAGATCTGCCCTCAGTGTATAACAGCTATGGTCAAAAGGAACCATTAAAACACAATTTTTCAAAAGCAAAATAAGTATTGGACATAGTTTCTCTTGTAGGACTACAGTTAGGCTTTGTATTGCTTTCTCAATCCAGAACTCCATCCATCTTCATGGCGTCTCTAAAAGAAAACATATGCTGTTTTTGGCAGTCATAATCAAGTAAATCAGTATACCTGATAAGCTTATATTCAGGTGTAAGTATTTTACATTTCTTAAAACACCATAAAATGAATATACATGAAACCAGTTATGTCTTTCAGGATGGAACCTTTTATGCTGCATAGATACACACGGAATTTTAAGAAACCTATGTTGACACACCCATTGTTTTTCTGGAAAGGTTAATCTGTTGATATTTTTTCTTTAACTCAGATTTTAATTTAATGGAGGATCTAACGGGGGCGTTTAGTCTGTAAATTCTGTGAGGATGAGACACGCTGAGGGTTACAAGGGCAGTGTTTGTGGGTTGTATATTTAAGCACTAAGACCATTAAAGGGTGAGGGAAGACAAGGGTAGGACAAGTCAGACCACAGTACCTATTATTTCAGGTTAGCCAACATAGTTTGAATCAGCAAGGCCCACACTAAAGAATTAGAAGGAGGGCTAAGAATTGTGGTCAGAAGGTAAAGCAGGAGGGTCCCGAGTCCCAGCCCAGCCCTGGGTTACAGTGCAGGACCTTGTCAAAGTAAAAAAAGGAAGAGAAGTGAACTTGGGAATTTTGTAAATAGGAGGAACTCATGGGGCTTGAAGATGTCCCACCTCTAGACCATGGCTGAGTGCCCTAACCTAGGCGGCCTCCTTTGGGGTGGGGACACTGTTCCTCCCGTAGGACCGGAGTCCACAGGACCCTCATCAGCTTTCTCCAACCCAGAGGAGGAAGGAGTCTATGAAAGTCTGCGATGTGTCACCACGGCTACAGGGTGTCTGCAAAGCCTGCCGGCCTCCTTACCACCAGGTTGGCGAAGGCCATGCCGCCGGCTGAACACCCGGCCGTTTGGGGCTGCGCAGCAGGACGCAGTCGGGCTCGCTCGCTTTGAACGGCGGCGCTCGTTGCCACGTAACCGCGAGGACGCCCCAGGGGCGAGCCGGGCAGATTAGTGGTTGGAGCGGGTTCATTGTGGGTGTGGCATTGGGTTGGAGGTGGGCTCCTTCTAGGAAGGAGGCAGATGAGTGGTTTCTGCTTTCACCAGTTTTTCAGACATCCCTAAAACCTCCTCACACCTGATCTCCACCTTGTGATGTGTAATAGCGCAACAAGAGCCAAACTCCTGTAAGACGGGCGTTCCAAGAGCACGCGGAGGCACCCGGGCTTCCCCTGGGAACCTGCGGAAAATGCAAGGGAGGGCCAGCCAGAAATTCGGCTTGGAGAGTGAAGATTCATCACCTAGCCTGACCCGCAGGGAGGAAGGACAGAACCAGCTCTTGCAACATGTCCTCTGACCTCCATTCTGCTGTAGCGTAAATAACTATTTTGATGCAGATGGTTAAGATTCCATACACTCATGGAGCTGGAGAGGTAGCTCAGCAGTTTAGAGCGTTGGCTGCTCTTGCAAAGAGCCCAGGTTCAGTCCGCAGCACCCACGAGGTGGCTAACAACCATCTGTAACTACAGTTCCAGGGGATCCCAGCCCCTTCTGACCTTCGCGGGCAGGCAAAACACTCATACACATAAAATAAAAATAAATACATCAAAAAATTTTTTTCAAAAAAAAAAAAAAAAAGATTACATGCACGCAAACATCTCTACTGAATCAAAAAAAAAAAAAAAAAAACGGGCCAGAAGGGACCAAGCATTCAGTAACTTCAAAATGCTCTCCAGGTGACTTTGGTCGACATTAAAATGGGATCCACTGTCCTAAGACAATCTCAACACTGGATCCACATTAAAATTACCTGAAGGTTTTTTTAAAAAAAGGTTTGGTGCCTGAGTCCCACTCCCAGAAAATCTCAAAAATTCAGCGACCATAGAGATCCGCTGTCTAAACAAAGCCACTGGCTCTTCTTCCTCCCCAGGCAGAAATTGCCATCTTTAACCTGTAATGATTCGCGCTCCCTGTTTTGAAGAATGGGGTATGGAGGGGCTCAACTAAGACTAACAGCAGATCTAAACGCACATAACCTGGCAGGTTAGAAAGGGAAAGAGCCATCTACTGCCACTCTGGCTTCAAAGCAGCCTTTCTGGTCTGAAGATAAATCTTGACTTAGCAGGTGGTTATTTGGTGATTTAAAATCCTGTTAGGTAGCCAGGTGTGGTGATGCACGCCTTTAATCTGAGCACTCAGGAGGCAGAGGCAGGTGGATCTCTGTGAGTTCAAGGCCAGCCTGGTCTACATAGTGAATTCCAGAACAGCTGGGGCTACAGGGAGACCCTGTCTCAAAAACACCAGAAAAAAATAAAATAAAATCCTATTAGGTTTCAAGTCTGTTTACTTATTTGTGCATGTAAATGCAGTAGAGGTGTGCACTCTCTCCCACTCTGCTCACCTGGGTCAGTCCGAGTTTTGAGCCACTGACTCATTTGATGCCCTTTAGTAAACTTTTCCTAAATTGAAAACTATTGGGAATTTCTTTTACAAAAAGCCATTGGGTGTATATGGTGATTTTTAATGATTGTGTCTCTCTACCTAGTAATTTACTACCAGGAGTATTCAAAGTGACTTCTTGTTCATCCAAAATGGAAAAGCTAAAAGCAGGCATTGATGCCTTCTGATATCATGAAATCCAATTAAAATTTTCAAGCTGGGAAATGAGAAAGCTGAAAGGTCTGTTGTTTCCATCTTTTTCATAGCAAGGTCTTAAAGTGTTATTCCTAAATGCATAGAATGGGTAATCATCTCACATTTGTCGGAGCATACTGTTTGTTGTGCTTCATTATATATTATGCCTTCTCAAGGCTGCACAGTAAGTACACCGCATGTATTTTTAAAATACATTTGGGCCTTGATAAAAAGTGTGACTAACAGTTGAATTGTTACTGCCTAGTAGAGTTAGTATATTCAAGTTATAGAACTTGTACAAGGTTGGTAGAGAAATGTGAGCAGCCCTCTGTTTACCCCCCTCCCCCACCCCGTGCACATCTGAATGGCCATGGGTAGATTCATCTTTGATTTCTTCCTAGTACTAGATAATGACATGCTTTAATCTGGGTTATTATGCTTTGGATATGAAATGGCCCAAAGCGCATGTGTTAGGGCTTGGTACCCAATGCAGCAGTGTGTACAGGTGTGGCTTCTGGGAGGTGATGGGACTATTAGTTACTTTTGTCCTCACTGAAACCAAAATACCTATTAGAAACAACTTAAGGACTTATTTCTGATTTCAAAGGAATCCCTATCATGGCAGAAAGAACATGGCACAGCAGCTCAGCTTGTTATTAGAGTTGTAATGGTCAGAGCCTGAGCTCTGGCAACCCTAACAAGGCTCCACCACCATCCTCAATAGGCCAATTAAAGAGACAGCAAAAACCCGAGAGAGGAGATTTATTCAACATGGCCACATTGGGAAGAAGAACAAATAAAGAACTGACATCCCACCCCCCAAGTCTACCTTAAGTTATCAACATGCGATTTAGGTTTAAATAGCAAGAGGTATGTATAACTAAGCAGACTTGGTCAAATGTGGTCCTGCCCATCACTGACTGACCGAACATGGTCTCAGTTCCAAACTCTCCTATAAAGTAGTCTGACAAGTTTTCAACACTGTGTGAAATCTCTTTCCCAGGGACAAATTCTCCTTCTGCCTGGCACCAGAGCCCCAGTCTTTCCCTTCTCCCAATATGAAACTCTTGGGAAAATTACAATTTCTTGGGGTCTGTTGTCTCTATAAGTCTGATAGCTGAAGGGAGGGACATAAGAATCTCTTTAGACTATCTTAGCTTCTTCTGGGAAAGTTATATGTTCACTTTGTGGCAGGTCGTGAAGCAAGAGAAAAATGGTGGGCCCCCTGTTACCTTTCTCTTTCTTTCTCCCCTTTTATTCTGACTGAACTTCCAGCCCATGGATGGCATCACATTTCAGGGTGGGTCTTCTCCCCTCAGTTAATCCTTTCTGAAAACACCCACACAGACACACTCATAGCTGTGCCTTATCAGTCTTCTAGGCAATTCTAAATCTAGTCAGTTGGCTGAAGATTAACTACCAGGTGTGGGTTCTAACCTCATTAATTGATCAATTAATTAATTGATCAATTATGAATTGATTAATTCATAGCTTAATTGGAGATAGTAGGAAGGTGGAGCCTAGTTGGAAGAAATAAGATACTGAGGGCATGCTTTTGAAGGATACATTTTGTTCCTGCCCCTTTCCTGTCTGACTCTTTTTTTTCTAGCCACCATAAGATGAGCAGCTTTGCTCTGCTACACTGTTTTCCAAACTTTCTATTGCTGTGATACACTGACCAAAACCAACTTGGAGAGGAAAGGTTTTATTTGGTTTACAGCACAGTTCATCATCAAGGAAAGTCAAGGCAGGAACTCAGGGCAGAAATCTGTAGCACAGGCCATGGAGGAAGGCTACTTACTGGCTTGCTCCCCTGACCCATGTTCAACCTGCTTTCTTAAATAATACAGGCCCACCTGCCCAGGGGTGGCACGACCCACAGTGGGCTGGGCCCTTCCACATCACTCAAAAATCAAGAAAATGCCCCACAGACATGGCCACTGGCCAATCCAATGGAGACAATTCCTCAACTGAGGTTCCCTCCAGCCAGGTGTGTCAAGTTGACAACTAAGGTGATCCAGCACACACAGTTTGTCCACCCTGATGTTCTGCCTTACCACAGACCCACAGTGATGAGGCCAAGAACCATGAACTGAAGCTCTGAAATATGACAAAATAAATCTCCCCAACTTTGAGTTGATTTTCTCAGGCATTGTATCACAGTCAGAAATATGAATGATGCATAAATGAACCTAAGTTGCAAATCTGCTCTGAACCTTTAGTAGCCAGCTTCCAAGATGGCCCCCAATTGACCCTCCGCTCCTGGAATTTACAACCCACTATTGTCCCTCCCACATTGTACCATAGTATTTCTGTGATGTATGTGAATAAAGCAGAAGTAATGATTTCTCACTCCCAAGACTGTTATAAATGGTGATGAGCTATCTCTTTCTCAACTGTCAGTCGTTTTGGAAGAAGTCAGCTCTTTCAGGAAAACAAGGTATACAAAAATGAGCCACCATCGGGAGGCAGAGGCAGGCGGATCTCTGTGAGTTCAAGGCCAGCCTGGTCTGCATAGTGAGTTCCAGGACAGCTGGGGCTACAGGGAGACCCTGTCTCAAAAAGACCAAAAAAAAAAAAAAAAAAAAAGCCACCAAAGGCAGACAGTGTTGAAAGATTAGAGAAAGAAAAGAAGCAGACACATCCAGAATTGCACAAAGTGCAATTTATGAAGGTTTAATCAACAGAGTTAAATCTTGGGTGGGAGCAAGACATAAGGATTCCTGTAACCTAAGGCATCATGAAGCAGAGGCTATGGTGACCTGCAGAAGTGCTCTGCCCAGGGTCAGGGCAATAAAATTAGAAAAATATAGCTGATAACTAGATCCATGGCAATAAAAATGAAGCTGTTAATATTCACTTGACAAAGGAGGGGGATTCTGGTTGCCACTCCCTCCTAACCCAGCTGCCAGGTCTTGGGTAATGCTAGAGTACACAGAAGGTAAAATGTTGGCTTTCTCAATGGTGCAGACTTGTGAGTTGGCCGTGCTTCCTGATGGGATACCTGCCATGATCCTATAAATTCCCTGAGTAAACTCAGTGGTTCACCATGCTGGACTTAGAATCCTTTCTTTGGTGCCCTCTCTATCTGGGTGAATAGACGTACCTTTACATTTCCCTAGAAGTCACCCAATAAAGGGAATTATATGCTAAGCAAGAATAAGCCACAGACAAATGGAATGTATCTGAGTTTTGTCAAAAGCTATTAAGATGTCAAACATCCATAATATCAAGCCAATCAACATTCCAGCGTATGACTGG